GGGGCCGCCCGCGCCGGACCGCCGCCGGCCGCCGCGCTCCGGCAAACAGACCCACGTGCTCGGCCGCCGCCATCCCCGGTCCTCCCGCGCCCCACGGCGGCCGCGGCCCCGCCGCAGCCGCAGCCCCCCGGCCGCCCGGCGCGCGCGCCCACCTGCACAGCCCGCCGATGACCTCCTTCTCGGTCTTCCTGAAGTGCTGCAGCGGCGGCACCTTCTGCGCGGGCACCACGAAGTACTCCATGCCCGGCCGGGATCGGGGGTGACGGGCGCGGGGGGCGGGCGAGCACGCGTCCGCCGGTCCCGCGGTGCGTCTCCGGCTCTGGCCCTGCGCGTGTCTGCTCAAGGCGGGAAACAGCTGGGCGAGCGCAGCGCAGCTCTGCCTCCCTCCCGCCCGCCCGCTCGCCCGCCTCCCTCCCTCCCTCCGCCGGCGCCGCCTCCGCCAGCCACCGGCCCATGTAAACAAAGGGCGATTCGCCGCGGCTGCCGCGCCGCCCTCCCGCCTGCCGCCCTGAGCAGCAGTGCCGGCCGGCGGACCCGCGGAGGGAAGGCCCGGCCCGAGCGCTGCGCTAACCGGACGCTCGGAACTCGCAGCGGGCGGTCCGGGGCTCCTGGCGGCCTGGGAGGGGCGAGGAACGGCCCCAGATGGGAGCCTGCGAGGGGCGCGTTGTGCCTGCCCCCCCCTCCTCCCTTTCCAAGGGCCGCGGACGGCAGGAGGAAGAGCCCGGCTTGTTCCCGCCAGGAGGGACTCGCTGCCCAGAGCAGCTGCCCGAGCGGGCACCGGCGAGAAACGCGGGGAAGCTTCCCGACTGACTTGGAAGCCTGCCTGGTTCAGCAGCTAAGGGGAGGGAGGGAGGCCGGGGCCTGCAGAGCCAGCCCAGCTGCCCCACTCGTGGAAGTCTTTTGGGGGCTCAGGAGGGATGGTGGGATTTGTAGTCCCACACAGCTGACTGGAGGTGGGCCAGAGGTCTGCCTTGACTGGAACTTGCAACGGGCCAATTTATTCAAGCAACCAGTTTAAGGGGTGGGCCAAGCCAAGCACTGCCCAGGGCCAGCCACTCAAGGCCAGGGCAGGAGAAGCCTGGCTACTCCCTACCTGCTTGGGAGTGGGGTGGCCCTTGATGTACCGGGCAATGCCTGCCCTGGGCCACCCTTCCTACTGAGGAATTACCTGGGCCTCTTCAGCCTGGCGGTCTTCTGCTCAGCCTTTCACTGGCACCCCCACCCCCCCATGAAGAAGTGACCAAAGGCCCCTTCTGGCCAGGCTCCCACAAAACGCTCAGCCAATTAAGCTTCCTTCCAGCTGGAATGACCCAGCACCTCAATGAACATTTACACGGCCAGCTAAGCAAGGCGAACTATGCCAGTGCTGTGAGAAGCCCACCAACCCCCACCACTCTGACTGGTTTCATGCCGGATGCTTCGCCCAATTGGTGAATGCAAAGCCCAAATGTCACCATTATGGCCAGCTGCAGTTTTAGTCTTCATGCCGGCCTGGGGAGGACACCCGGCACCTTTCAGCCAGCAGAAGAGCCTGGTCTTGGTCACTGGAAAAGCCGATGGGGGGGGGGAGTGGTTCTGGCCAGCACTGGTGCCTCTTCCTTTCTGAAGTGCTCGTCCAGGGAAGATACGGCAGGGAAGGCCGGCTTAGGGGCACCTGGAGTACGCTTGGCTTCAATCTGAGCCCCTGGGCAACAGCAGCAGCGTTGGATCTAGCCAGGGCAACGCATGCTCAAGTGAGCAGGGTAGTCCGGGCGGCAGAGTCTGAACCCTTAGCCGTAGCCAGGACAGTTGCCGCAGTGGGGGTCACACTCTGCTAGCCAAGACCGAAGAACAGATGGATAGCATGCTTAGGATCGGCCCTGGCCTGCAAGAGGGGTTGGAGGGTCTCGGGAAGTCAAAGGGCAGCCCCTTCCTCGCCTTTGGCTGCGATTCCCCTTTTGCACGTTTACCCTTCCCAAGAGCGAAGGCCGAGGCGCTTGGTCTTCCTTTCCACATTCTTGGCCTGATAGAAAGGGATCAGTGGTGGGCTGTCCACTTTTTTACCACCAGTTCAGGCAGGTGCAGAAGCATTTGGGTGGGTGGGCAGAGCCTCCCGCCGCCGCTACTCCTGGTTCACCCGATCCGGGCCGAACTGGGAGCAACCCACCTCGGGAAGGGATGCCAGAACAGGACCAGCAGTGCCCCAAAGCTGCCCGGGGGGGCTTGCTGGTAGCTGAGCTGAGCACACCCCTGGCCTGGCAATCATCCACACACGGTGCAGCTCCTGGGCTCTTCACCTGACAACCTTCTCCAGGTCGACAGCCTGAGCTCCATCCCGAGAAAGATCGTGTCCTGTCTTTTCTCCACATTGGCCTCATGGACGAACCACGGGATGAGCGCCTGAGTTTTTCTCCTAGCCGCTGCTCTCTCCTTTGAAAGCAGGTCTCGGTCTCTTTGCTTCGCTTCCTTTCCAAACCGGAGTAAAAGAAGAGGCCAAAGACGCTCCGAATGCAACAACGGGGGTCAGGGGCGAGCCCACAGCTAAGGGCACCACGGCCAGGGACTGGCTGGGGTAGCCAGCAGTATGGAACCAAGTGTCCCAGAGCTGGGTCTATCATTTAGACGGGCCAGAAGTCAGCAGGGCTGCACCACAGCCAGAGGCGCTCCCCCTTGTGGCCAAGAGAATACAGCACAGCCATCTAGTTTTAGAATTTATTTGCTTTCTCCCATTTTAAATTGAGCCGGATCCAAAGTTCTCTCTATGACACACAGAAATCACAAACATAAAATACAAGGTGCCAGGAAGAGAGAGCAGAAAAAAACCAGAATCATCACAGGCACGTAAGAACAATTCCAGCAACAAAATGAAAAAGTGCAAAGGATTAAATTCTCTCCCTGAATTACTCGAGTGAGTAAGCCTTCCTCTTGAAGGTGCTGAAAAAGCTGGAGTCCTGTCCCTGCCCTTCTGGCACAGCTCAGCTGGGAAACGGGCCTTAAGATCAACTGCCACCTTTCAGCCTTCCAAAGCTGTTTGATCTGGGCTGATGGCAAAGCACCAGGTGTTGTTACCGCCCCCCCCCCCCCCATGACCACCATCAATTTCCCCCCCTCTTGCTTGGAATTAGCAGCTTGTGCTGGACAAAGACGGACCCAGACATAAGCACTGACATAATTTCAGCGGGAGGCCATCAATTCCAACCCAGTTTCAGATTAATCAATTTCAGTTCTCCCCCACACGCGCCCTGCAACATGACTCAATTGTTAGGGGAGGTGCAGGGGACCACTCCGGGATGCTTTCCCCAAGCACTGCCCTCTAGTGCTGTTGACTGGATCAGGCCCCAAAGAGAGCCAGGGCACGATGAGCAGATGACTTTGTCCCTCCTGCCAAGCTGTTGTGAAGATCAGCTAATAGAACCTCACACCAGATTCTAAAGCTCTGTGGCAAAAAGGCCTTGAAATGAACGACTGGCGCATCGGGTGCCGCTTGTTGGGCTGCAGTCCTGAGGGTGCGTGTCAGAGTGTGGAAAAGGAACCCACTGAAGAAGCCCCGTCTGCGGTGTTGGGGTTAGGCTTAGCAGTCCTCTGGTAGCGGGAGGGGTACATGACTCACCGTGAAGCCCCCAGCAGATGCTCCAAAATGTGGAGGGTCTCACAGGGACGCTTCCAAGGAATTTCTGGGCCTCCAGTTCCGCATAGGTGCCTAGTCTCTGAAGATGGGCACCAGGGGCAAGTGCTGTGGTGGGGCATTTGGAGAACTTCTCCATCTGGGCCACAGAGCAGCCGTAGTTCTTGGCACCGCTGCAGGCCAGGCCTCTCCCTGCCAAAGAGGAGGAAGGGCAGTGAGCTTCCCCCCAGCAGAGTCCTAGTGGCCAGCTGGCATCCCCTCCTTTGGCCAGGGACAACGGTGCATTGCGAGGGGCGCGGATCGGTGGCTTGGGCCGAGGAGGTTAGAGTCGGGCGGGGATCTGAGCGCCTTCTGCTCTTGCAAGGACGGGCTGCCCACCGAGGGGCCCGACGGAAGGAGAGCAAAGGGAGGAAGCGGCTTTTGCTGAGCCGCATCTGGACGTTTTTTCCGGAAGAGGCCGCTTAGCGACAGGAAACCTCGGGATGCTCAGCCCGGACGCCAGCCAGGCACTGCCCGCCTTTCACGAAGCAGCCGAGCCCAAGGCCGGAGGAAGAAGGACGCCAAGGACGGCCTGCCCCGGAGAAGCTCGGGGAACTCCTTGCCGGCGTCGCGGCATCCCAAGGCCGGAGCGAACGGCCGCCCCGGGCGTCCCGCTCCGCTCGCCCAGACACCAGAAGCTCCGCCCGCCTCCCGCGCTTCCTATCTGGGCGGGCTGGCGCCTCCTCCGGCTCCGGCTCCTTCCGCTATGCCGTCTGCGCCAGGGAACCCCCGCCCCCGTCCGTCGGAGCCGGCCCTGCGTTGCTGGGCGGAGGGCCCCAAGTCAACCGCCCGATCAGGCGCGGGGAGGGCAGCAGGGTCCCTCCGCAGGAGGCGGCCGCAGGGGCCTTTGGGCAGCCCGTTGGGGCCCATCGCCAGGGACGGGGAGGCGTGGGGGAAACGCCCGGGACGCCAGTAAGAAGGGCAAATCTCAGAGAGGCCCCGGCTGCCGACTGGACACGACCCTTAGGAAACCGGCTAGGAGAGTGCCGAGCGAGGCCGCTGCTCCGGCCTTGGCCCTCTGGCCGGGTGAGCCTCGCCTATCCCGGCGTTCCCCCTCCCCCGGCGGAAGAGGCAGGCTGGCGCGCTGCCCCCTCCGCCCGCTCGGAAGGCGCGGGACGGCCGCTCCGCCCAGCCTGGTGCGGGAAGCCGAGCGTTCTTCCGTCCCTCCGCTGCCGGAGATCGTCAATCAAGACGAGGGGAAGGGGCCGCTCGCTTCCCCTGCCTCGCGCCCCTCCTCTCCAGCAGGCGCCGCCTCCATCCGCGTCCCAGAGCCGGGGGAGGGGAGCCAGAGAGATCCTCCCCTTCGCCGCCTCCGCCGCCGCCCTCCCTCGCTCGCTCGCTCGCTCGCTTGCGCGGCATCTTCTCTGCCCTCCCGCCCTCCCTCCCTGCCGAGGCGCAGATGTGGCGCTGCGGCCGTGCGCCCCATCGGTGCCGGTGGGGGTGGGCGAGGCGGAGTGGGGAGGCGCCCCCCGGAGGTCTCTCGCACAGGTGAAAGCCTGCCAGGACCCCCAAAGAGGGCAGCCCCAGCGCCGCTCCCCAGCCTCTCCGCCCGCTCGCCTAGCCACCGGGGGCGCGCACAAAGCTGCGCCGAGACGCCTCCCTGCCTTCCGCCACCGGCCAGCGCCAAGGTAAGGCGACGGGTGCGCAGGCGGCCGGTCAGGGAGGGAGGGACGGGGGGAGGGAGGGGGCGCGCGACGGATCGGACCCATAAAACCCCCAGATGGGGAAGCCGTCGCCTCTGCAAAACCCGCCTGCCCTTTGCTGGGAGCCATTATCCCCCCGGCCGCTGCCCGCCGCCCCTTCTATGGCTGCCTGGCTTGCTTTCCGCAATGGGAACCTCAGCGTCCGGGTTGAGCGCACGACGCCCCCGCCCCGCGCCTTGCCTGGAAGTTTGGCACCTGGGGCTATTCGCGAGAGGGCAGCGGAGGCTACCCGGACCGCCATAGGAGGGCTGCGGCCCCCTCTCGGGCCAGCCTAAGCGGAAAGAAGGGAGGAGAAACCGCAGGGCCGGGGACCCCGGGGTAGCCCTTCTTGGAAGGTCCTTTGGGACCGGCACTGGGGATCCCCTTCCTGCTCTGCTCAAGCTGCTACGGGCTTCCAGCTGAAAGGGGGTTTCCAGGGCAGAAGCCGTTGGGGGCGGCATCTTCTGGCAAGAAGGATTGAGGCCTGCAGCCCAATGCAGCCTGTCATTGTGGGGGGTCTGAAGAAGAGGGGTGGGTCTGTGGTTTGTTGGGGAGCCAGGGAGGGCAGGAATGTCCTTGCAAGACCTCCCTGCTGAGAGCCACCCAAGCATGGCAGAGCAGCAGCAGCTGAGCCCCAGCAGAGAGCAGGGAAACCTGGATGTGGCCACTGCACTCTGTGCCCCCCCCAAACCCCTTTGGGAATGGGGAGGAGTTGTAGCATAGAATGGAAGGTGCCAGGGACAGCCATTGCCCACGCTATGGGCACTCTGGCTAGAAGGCCAGGCGGCTTCCCCAGAGTGGGAGGTGGCCTCTCCTTCCCCTTCTAGTCAATGCTCTTCCAGCTTCACCTGAGCAGGGAGCTACAGAGGTGACCCCCCCCTCCCCAATCCCTCACCCTTCCCGGCCTGATTGAGTGTCTTCCACAGCACTGGCATTTTCTGCCCCCCCCCCCCCTTTTCTGGGAAAGATTCTGTGCATGGAGACCTGTGCTTCAGCCTGGC